AACAGGATTGTTTCTAAACTTTAAAATACGTGTGAATTAAGTTTAAAAGCAAAAAACAGAATAAATTAATTATAAACCACACTAAAAATACATTTGTCTTTAGTTTACAGTAAAAACATTTTAATTTGTTAAAATATTTTTAAGTCAATCTAACAATTTTAAAATACTTGGCTAAAATATTATTACAAAACAATAAATAACCTTCAAAAAGTAATAAATAAATTGAAATATTTGATAATATGAATTTTCTAGACATTCAACATTATTAAATAAATCCTTTCATCAATGTCCAACAAGAAAAAAATCTAACCCAATTATTTTTGTTAAATTAACTTTAAGATTATATTTAAAGGTCATTTGAATAAATAAATTATTCTGATGCTGTAGTCTATATCTTTCCGTTGCAGCGTCGTATCTTGATTAAATGGTGGTTAACAACCCCTCGAGGCGAGGGAGTGTCACGCCCTTCTAGTAAACCAGGAGGTTTACTTGTGCTTTCCGATTCGGACATGAACAGAAGTGGCGGCAAGTCCCTCGTAGTAGAAAGCAGGATTTAATAGGTTCTCGCGTCGCCGCTTTCGCACTCCAAAAATTATTCACGATAATCCAAAGGGGTAGGTTTATCTCCTTGCTTTTTATTTTTCATTTTTCCCTTAGTATTATGTGTCTGCTGCAGGAAAAATTCACAACGTGATCTCTGACCAACGGCGAACTTATATTTTATTTACCACGGGGATAGAAGGAATAAACAAGAATTGCCTGGTAATCCTGAGTGGTTGATGGAAAATAAATATTCAAAAATGGCGTTACCTTAACAACAGGTATTGACGAAAGAAAATAATCACGCTCGAAAAGAAATAATTGCTTTCTAACAAAATTTAAAGAAGAAAAGTTAATTTTATTCAGCCTCTCACGAGATTTTTTTCCACTAACTGAAAAGTTTTAATTAAATTCTACTTTTCGGCTCTTCTAACACTCTGAACTTGATATATTTACCTAAGTAGTATTTTTTGCTTTAAAGAGAACTAGGAATTAGGGAAATGTCATTGAAATTCATTAACACGTCGTTTGATTAAATATTTAAGCTTCTAGAAAAGAAGATTACACATCACTATTCCAATGCTGTTTAGCTTAAAAGTATTTTGGTTAATTTCACATTGAAAGTTGGGATAATACAAAAGGGAACATATCACGAAGGGTTAAAAGCAAAGGGAAATGTGAAGAACACCAACTGGGATCGGTTTTTACTCCTACAATTGAGGGAGTGTAGCGGAATTTGCCCCGTGGTCTGTCAGTGACAGGACTCTCGTCTCTTCTCCTATTTCTGTCTTTCACGCGATTTAAACTGAAATTTAACATCTCTCACATTCAGTCAGGCTGTTGATACACGTCTAGATTCAACCTTTTCCGTTTAGAATTTACTTGCAAACCAGGAAATATGATATGTTTCCAGGATATATATCAAAAATGTTCGGTAAAAGGAATAGCAAACAAATCGAAAAAGCTTTTACGAAAGTATCAAGTGACATTCAATTTATTTTTTTTCAGGATCGATAGAGGGAAATATATGAGGGAATTGTGAACGTCGTTAATACAGTTTGGAGCAGAGACAAGTGCACCTGGAGGCCTCAAAGGATTATATCTACGAGGCGAATAGACGAGAGACTCAATTTGCATGACTATGTTAACCCGAGGGGAAATCACGAGATGAAGGTGTTAATTGTTGGAGGTGTGCTCGCTTCATGTCTTGTCTGATACGATTGATGCCATGCTTGAATATTGAGTATATTTAAGTCACTGCAGAATACACGAGAGGATTATAGACTAGTAACTAAACTAGTTAAATTTCCCGATTAAGATCAAATACAAGTTATTTAAATGAGTCTCGAGGGCTTTCTTTATCTAGTCTAATATAACGTCAGCACAGAACCATTTCTGAGAGAAGAAGATCTTTTGAAAGGTAGAATTATCACTCATAAAATATTCTGAATAGAAATAATAAAATTATAAAATACTTTCTCAATGTTTAAACTACATTTTTTTTTGATACTTAATTGCTTTAAAGGGAATTAAAAATTGTAACAGGAATATTTATTAAAGCACTTTTTATATTTTGCATAATTTTTTTAGTTACCTGATATTTAAGAGCTTGGTTTTTACTGGTGGAGACTACAAGTACTTGGTAATTTATCTTTGTATCGTAATAAAGTTTTTTTAGAGTATAAAAAATTGTCGGCTCTTATAAAAAAAAAAATTCGTAAAAAAATTAAAGAACAAAAAATAAAAAATATTTTTGCAACTATATTGCAAAAGATATTTTATATCTGAAATAAATATTCCCTCAGACCAGCAAGCTTATTTTTAATCTTCAAAAATGTTCATCGATATTAACGATATTGACGGCGGAAAATTATTAAGTTGTTTTGCTCTATTTTATAGCTATAAAGTCAACCAATAATTTATCTCGAGGTTTTCTGAAATTAAAAGAATTCGTTCAATATAATTTATTACCAAAAAAATCAAGCAGCAATTTATTTTCCTATTAATTTTATAGAAAAACCTGTTTTCCAAATATTAATTTTCAAAAATTCTACTTTTACTCAATTCTCTTATTTAAAAATATCTATTTCTTTTTCGTTATATTTTATCTTTTATTTCTACAGATTTTTTTCAGCTCTTTAAGAGTATTATAATAATATTTGATCCATTAAGGGATAAATCTGGGATGAAGCTTAATGGAAGAATAAATATAACTGTGCTGAGTACGGTAAAAATTAGTCTCTTCTACTGATCTGCATGTATTTTTATAAGAATATTTCGTTTCTCATCGTACAGAATATATTAAAAAAATTTATCATAGTCATAAGAGTTGATTAAAGCTCACGTTTAAAAAAAAACGAGGCCACGTGAACTTGAGAAACAGGAAGGTTAAGTGGGCTTTTATGTGCCTTTCACGGTTGCGCCTTAGAGAGTATGTATAGTGTATACATAGTAAGAATGGCGAAGACCGTGACCCACCAGCTCTTCTTTTTGTAAAGACACATATGCAATATACGGAAAAAAGGATAAAGAAAGAGAAAAATATACAAAGGTATGCAATAACGTCACGAGTTTAAACAAACTGGCATGTTTATGGACATTTCTAGTAACGAGAAATATAAATAAGAAAGGTTTTTTAATGAAAAGAAAGAAAGAATCGTTAAATTTGATAAGATGTCTATAATTTTAAATAGTCGCGAACGGAAGCAATTTTGTTACTCAGTAGAAACACTTTACAACTGAACTGTGCCACTCGGAAAGGTTACAGGAATCTAAAATTAGAGTATAAATTTTAGACAGAATATAGACCTTCCATTATACTTTAAAAGCATACCGCCTATTGAGCACGAATAATAGACATTGCTTGGAAAAAAAGATCCAGAAAAAGCCCCCACAAAAACATAATTAAATACCCATTATAATCCACCCCATATATTTCGAAAGGGAAGTATTTTTGGTACTTCTATCGTGTTTGCTTTTTTATTTTAATTTTCTGGCTTTTATTGCACTGAATTAAGCATTATATACCTGAAGGAATGAAAATCGAAAATATACTCATTTTTATTTGTTTAATTTGTTAATAAAATGAAAATAATATCAAAAGTGTTTACAAATTAAATAAAATTTAATGATAACACATCGATTCGTTTATTCTGAAGTTAATTAAAACATCAAATTTAAATGTTTGCAAGAATATATGTTGTTTAAATATCAGATCATTACATAAATAAACATTATAACTATTAATATTATTAATCAACTGAAAAGAAAACATTGAAATTTTTAAATAAAATTCGTGACAATTTAGATGAATCAATAAGCTACGGAAATATGGATAGAATAAAATTTTTCAGAGAAATATTTTAAGAATAATGGAATTCAGTAAAATGAGTTAGAATTTTCACATAGAAAAAAAAAACATTGATTTTAAATGCAAATCAAATAAAAGAATGCTCTAGACAATTTTTACTTTATAAAATATCATTTCAACATCATTATTTTTGTCTCTATTAATAATTCGATATCATCGATGAAATGACATATAATTAATGTGAATATTTGTTTTAAAAATTATAATAATTGTATTTCCATCTCTGTGAAATTGTAATGGAAAATATTTATTGGAATGATGAACAATGAAAATTACAATAATCATGAATAATATTTTTAAAATGATTATATGAATCAACTCAGACAATATCGTCAAAAAATGTCTTCATATAAAACATTTTTCGTGTCATATCTGTTAATTAAAATCCTGTCAGTAATTTAGTAATCTATTCAAAGACAAAAGTTCAAGAAATGTCTTATTTTACCACAATCAAGAAACGAATTATTCGTTCAATACAATGAGTCATAATCAATTTATAAATTAATATTATAATGATTTGTTATATTTATGAATCACAAATTCCTATATTAAATTCAAGAAAAAAATAAATTTGGAAAAAAGATATTGTGTCCTTTTATTTTATTGTGGTTTGATTTTTTGAGAACCGACAAGTTTGTCCACCAAATTTCAGTGGTTCTGAATCCCAAGCGAACATTTCACAATAAAACCCACAAATGACTGGACTACCACTAAAAATTTCGAAACAAAGCGTCCTATTTAACCGCGAATAATCCTGGTTATGATATAATTTCAATTATCATTACCATTACTAGAAGAAGAATTACTAGATAATTAAAACTAAATGAACAATTAAAATTTAGAATTGCTCAAATATGAAACAAAGTCGTATATTATCATTAATTAATTTAAAATCCACTACATTTAATTTAATGAATATTTTCAACAATGAATAATGACATAAAAGCATTATTTCCAAAACTCCTCTTCAAATTTGATTAATTCAACATAGACGACTCTCAATACAGAAATAAAAGTTGTACAATAAATTAAATTATGTAGTTTTGTATTGAATGAATTAAAGTAATTTATTTTTGAATAATGCAATTACCTTGAAGATTGCAGGAAGATGTAGACAAAGCAAAACTTCTTGTCGGATTGGTCACAGCCAGTAGAAGTGGAATAGCCGTAATTTGAAAGGTTTTAGACTTCGGCACGTCTTGTTTAAGGACACTGTAACTTTTGGCTCGTCTCCGAAAGATCGGTGAGTCGAGAAAACTATCATCGTAATGCGGCATTATTTTTTATTTCAGCTTGACTCTCTTAAGAAATTGAAAGACACATTTTCGTGATCAAGTGTGGATAAAAATGTTATTTATTTTATATCACATGTCACTTTTATTTAATCAAATCAATCACATCGCGTGACTACTAGATAATAATAAGTCGCGCCAGACCGCGAAAATGATTCTCTTGATCTCAAGGAAGTGTGTAACACGAGAATTGGATCTATTACCACAATGCTCTTGGTAACAGTATCTTTCGCTATCGAGCGATATGTGTATTATAGTTATCACCAACAATCATAACTGTTCACTGACTAACCAAAAATATCAGCATATAAATTGCATTCCAATTGAATAACATCTGGATTTCTCTTCCTTTTTTTGTACATTAAACTGTGCTCGGTGTATTGCAAATCCATATTTCATATTTCATTTAAAAATCGTGGCCTGTCAAGTGTCGAACAATACTGGTATGTGACTGTGTAATTTTCAAATCGAATGTCAAAGCAAAATGCAGTATATTATGGAATTTGGAGGATTCAAGAGACCGTATATTAAAACGTATATTGCTCACAGACTCGATGACAGGAGTGCTAAATATAAATAAGTATGAATCTTTAATGTGTGAATCTAATCTCAGGAGCTGCTTTTGCAATTAAATTGCCACCAACGCGGAAGAAGTTTGAAGGAAATAGAAATGTCTTCCTGCTTGTCTATTTTTGATTTAATTAATGTACCATCACATTTATTCCATGTCGACTTATTTTCTTTCCAATTGCATTTTAATTAAAATTAATCGTTTCCGTCCGGTTGTAATTAAATATAAAAATATGTTAGTTGTTTTTTTTTTCTTATTTGTTAGTTTAAATTATTTAAGAAATAAACTTATATGGAATTTCTTCTTTAGCAAGACCTCCAGCGAATTAGTCTACAACACGTACTACACGTGATCAAAACTAAGTACTGACGATCAGCGACGAGTAACGTATTCTTCGGAGCATTTTATCCACACCAGAACGAGCACATTGGGGAACAAAGTATATCGTCATGATGGACCGATGATCCAAGGCAATTTTTCAACCGTGAAAAATTCCAATATACCAACCTAACTTACAAGCAAGTCTCCAATTTATTTAACGCTTGAATTCTGTAGTGTTTTCATTTTTTATAGAGTACACTTTATCGTTTTTGTTTTCTCTGTATGTAGTGAATGAACTCGGCAATTTTTATTTTTTTCATCAGCACTTTTTTTTACACCGAGTTAATTATAGTCATCCTGTAAGTTGATGAAGTAATAAATTTAAAGTGTGTCTCAAAGATAAATAATCATCAACGACGAACTTGCGACCCAGTTTTCATCATGAAATTTCCTATTCCCACCATGTTTCTCCGCTTCTCCTTTCATTAGTTCTTTCATTTGCTTTTTGATATATTTTAGGCATATACATTATACAAGAGGTATATATGCTTATTTACTCGATTTCCTCATTACCATCATTATCATCATCATCATCAACAACAACACCCTAATAAATTCTCCTGAATGTCTATTCACAGTAGACTAATAAATTTTTCGCACTTCTAAAAATACCAAATACCACATAACTTGCTTCTATTTATTGATGCCAACAAGTTGTGAATTATTTCCGGTCACCACTTCATGATATGTAACACACAAGTTCAAACGCATGTAGTACACTAGACGTGCAAAATTATTTGCGCGTTGCTCACATGTACAACTATTACCATTAAAGAAGATCCGCTAACCGATCAGACCTTGATCGCCAATCATATGTACCCCTGTTCAACGTTCCGTTTGTTCGACTTGTATTGCAATATAAACTCAAGCTTTGATATAAAATCAATGCATTTACATCAATCATTTAATATTAAACTTTCACTCACAATTAATTCTTATAAAATCCAGGTAAGCATTTAAACATCAAATAAAAGCTTTGTTTCTATTTTCAAGAATAAATTACATAAGAAAAAAATACACTTTTTATGTATAAAATTGATGAATGCATTAAAAAAGTGTTTTTATTAATTAATAATAAATATATCTAATTAACAATAATGAATGAATTGATTTTAGGCTGACCGAAATAATTAGATCAAAACACTAGTGGACCATCCGAGCTCAACAGCATAGAATGAAAATATTTTTATCTTACGCTGTTACTTGAGAGTCGTTCGCGACCATCTTGGCCGCGAATCAGAGGTGAACTGTCAGTATTACTGGCCGCAAAGATCAGTCAGTAATAACTGTGACTTTAGCCGGGAAAGAAGACTTGTCTATTTTAACGGAATATAAGAAGAGGCAGCGGGTGAGTGTAAAAGATACAAAGACAGTCTGGATGTAGGTTCTGCCCAGCTGGTTTAATCCAAAGAATAGCATTACGTTTTATAGTCAGTCACAGACTGAAGCTCATTCTTTATTTCGTGAACGCAATATGGTGAAGACAAGGAGGAGCGCCACAGAATGCCAACGACACGAAAGATTTATTTATGTTGCTCTATTGGTTTGTAATATATATATATTTATTATCTTTTTACTCTATACACTGTCTTCATCTCATCTAGCTAACATTGTTCAATGTATTGATCGTTAAATGGAGCTAAAAACAGTTCAACTGCAGCAGCAGCAATAATGGACGAATATAAATCTTTATTGTTTCAATTCATTTACTTGGAACGTCTTTCATTGAATTATTGGAGTGGAGGAATAGGGTAAACTGAACCCAGATAGACTATCCCTGATTGGTGAACCAGATATGATGAAGGATATTTCAACGAGATATTCTACAAATTATTCATTTTTATGCCATTAATTTGATGAGACAAAATTGTTAGAGAATAGATTTTTTAATCCTTGGAAACATCGTTCCAAACCAGTGAACAATTTTTTAAATTAATAGAACTCTTCGTAATTGCTTTGTTATTTTTATTCATGTTGATGGTTTATCTCTGGGATGATCAAACAATGCAAAAAAAGAAGATTTTTTTTGTGAAAGAGATATTATTATAGCTAATATAACCTAAATAACCAAATCAGTTTGTGATTTGTTTCCAATTGAGTAAACATCCCAATAGGTGATCAATTAGCCTAGTAATTTGATCATCATGAGTGCGACAAAAATGGATAACCTTTTTCCCAGGTTTCCTACCTATTGATCAATCACCAGTCCAGTTACCCCAGCTTTTTGAACTGATAAACTTCAACCTGGGATTAAAATTTTAATATTCAAAACAGATGATCCACTGTGATTAGTTTGAAATTGAAAAACAAGATAGCTTCAATTAGAATAAGAATTAACTTTTCTGATTAGTCTAATTTAAACTTCTGATTTAATGCAATCGATTCAAGAAGCCTCCAGGTAGCAAATAACTTTAAATTGATGTGAAAAATGTATGACTGAATGAGTTCAACTATAGTTAGTGTAATGCTAAATAAATTTCACAGAATAGGCAGTGAATTATTGACCTGTAAGGTGCAAAGCTTAGAAGTCATTAAATAACTCTATTAGTGTTCATACTAACAATAAGCCAATAAATAGTAAATGTGTTATGAGGATAAGATGATATATGCTAATGGAAGTTCTACTTTAATAAAACGAGAAAACTCTTTTTATGATTATAGTACTTTCATTTTCTGTATAATTTTTATGATGAAAAATAACGTATTTTTTTCAGCTGAAAAAAGAAATCAAAAATTATGAAATTCAAACAAATCCTTAAGAAGATTAATCTTAATGCTTTTCTCATCGAAATAAAAAAGCTTTAAAAGCTTTTTAATTAAAAAATGTTCCTGATGAGAAAAATGAACTCGATAACTTACATGAACTATTATTCCTGAATCAATATTTGTAACTCTACCTAATACACTTCAGTGGTAATTTTTTTCACAAAGGAAATGTTCAATTTATATTTCACTGTGGGTTTCCAGACAGAGCCAGAGCTAAACTTCTTGTTCATTTTTTAGTTGTCTAAAAAGTAATAGCAAATTTTTTTTTAAGTAACAATTAGTGGTTCATTATCGTCTAGTTTACCTAGAGCATACATAGACAGTAATGAGGGCAAGATTAGACAGAGGGTAATGCTCTGTCATCTGAGGCATCTATCGAACACTAATGGTAAAGGTCAAGATCTTCATTTGCATTAGTACCCGCAGCATCTCAAGCTACATAGCACTAATGCAGATTCTTGCAATAGCAGAATAAGCCGCTTAACTTGGAATTCCAAGAGCATCTGATGTACACAGATATGATGTGCATGCTCAAACACAGTAGGATATGATGTTAAAATCGTAAATCCTCCAACATATTTTCCGACCCAAGTCCATGGAGGAACGACGTCATTTCTGGAAATCTGTCAGAATGTTGGAAATTTTTCCGGTTCAAGCAACCACCCCTATCCTTGATGTCGAAGATTGTCGGAAGTAAAACAAACAGCTCACATGAATGATTTACGTTCAAGAGTTCTCCATGTGTTCAAGGGATTCAGGTAGATACTCTAGTGGTAAAGCGAGACTGCATATTCATGAATCAACGTTGACGTAACTAGCAACGCTTCCGAGCAAGAAATTCGTGTTTCTCGATTAGATACACAGATGTTTGTACATCGCAAAGTACTAAAGTATTTTTATGTCTGCTATGTAGCTTTGGAAAAAGCAGTATTTCAAAAAAAAAAAAAAGAATTGAAGAAGAATGAGATAGAGTGTTCGAAAATACTGATGTTCTATGTGAAAATTTGCATGGATATTAAAAGCAGGATCCGTAAAAGTTGGTCCAATGTTTTGTGGGAGATGAGTAAAAGAGTTTTCAAATTGAATGAGAATAGGAAAAAATATTCATTCCGAATTAGTCACGATTCAATCTTTCGTATAAATCAAGGGATTGAATATATAATACTTGCTGATGAGATCGTGACGTTTATAGACGTATATAGAGGTTCCATTTAGCTATGGATACATTACTATAAAAGTATCAAAGATTGAGGAGATGATATTACATTACTTTACAATATTCAATGAAAAAGAAAAAAGTATTTGAAGAAATTCTCATATCATTTATAAACTATCCATGAAGACTTGAATTTTTTTATTTTAACTTCTGAGCAGTTTTTGAAATTTAAATTTGTATGAATTGAATGAATGATTATGTGGAAGCTACAATTTAATTCATATGTTTAAAATGAAAATTGATGTTAAGGTTTCTCGAGGTTAACTCAGTTAGTTCTAAAGGTCATGCAGGAAGTAAGCTTTCCATCTCCAGAAAAGTTATTTTTGCAATATAAAAAAGTTGAATGATAAATAATTGAATGTTTTTTTTGTGAAATAGTTATATAAACATTGCAAGTAATTGCTAATAAACTGTGGAACAAAAATGTGTTAAACATTCTTATTTTCCAAAGCTAAAAACTTGTTTATTGCTGACAAATGCTGATCTTGGAAAAGGTCACCATGAGTAAAAATGAGTTCATTCTATTTCTTATTGTGTATCATTTTTTTCAGCCAAGACAAATAACATTTCTAAAAATGTCAAATATGTTTGACATGGTTTTTTATGTTTGGTTAAATAGTTCCATCAAAAAGTTAGTAAACATCCAAGAAATGAATTAGTATAAAAAAAACAATGTCACGAAGATGACAATAAAAACGCTCATTATTAATTATGATAATTATCTTCTAATATATCAGCATAAAAACAGATATTATTAGTCTTGAATGTTAAGAGAAAAAAATTTTTTTACTGTGAGTAATGACCTGGATTACAAGTTACAAAGTTTCTTCAATAAACTTTATACTATACTTTTTGTAAGATTATTGTCAATTATTTTATAAGATAATTGTCGTGCTCAATAACAAGCATTTAGGTATTGATCGATTCAAGCAAAAAAAAAGGATTCTTACTGCTTTTAAAAAAGCTGTAAAAAATAAAACTTGTTGGAATAGAAGAATCTCTATGAAAATAAAAAACGATAACAAAGGAGTATGAGAAAGTTAATGTAACAATGTAAGATAGACGGGGTCAAGGGAATTAAAAAATTTCGCAAGATGACTCTTGTCGACGATTGAAAGACACGCAGGGACAATTGAGCCAACAAGAGAAAATAGAATTAACGTTTAAGACTCTGACCAAGTATTTTTATTTGTATTTTTCTTTCATCTAGTACTTTTTAAAAGTTTCGAGGAATTTTTTATATTGTTTTACTAATGGAAAAAAATTTGTCGTCTAGACATATATGTATCAAGGAAGAATAAGAGTCAGACTACGTAAAAATCAAGAATAAAGATTGGCTGGAAGATAAAAGGACGACGAGATAAAACGGGATTTAGTAATATCTTGATCTTGGCGATTCTGCGACTTTCAATCTTTTTTCGTACTTGTCTCCTATTTTTCTCTTTTCTCTGCATCTTTTTTCTTATAAGACACGCGCGACCTTTATATATACCTACCGCACAAAGAGTACAAGTAAAACCCCTGTGGACCAGCTAACATTCAGTCTCTATAGAATTATTTCAATGCACTACCCGCCTATAGTTGAGATTTTAATGAGTTCTCTTTTGAAGAATGAGGGGAGCTGCTCTTTATGTTCCTCTCTCACTCACTTGCTTACCAACCCGTAACCGCAGAATTATTGACCTTGTCTACAACAAATCCCTCTATTTAGGATTTTCCATCATCCTCTCACAGCAATTCTTCTTTATTTCAATTCTTTATTTTATTCCAATCCAAAAAGTCAAAAGAAATCTTGAGATTAGTGATGTAAAAATTCATAACGAATGTAATTCACTATATAGAAAAAGGTTTCTCTCTTCCAGAACTATGTTATTAATTTTAGTAATAATTCCTGGCATGTTTCAGTTACCTCATTTTTTTATCTCTCTAATTAAATGGTACATGATCTGTCCAGTTGTTCATGCAATGATTGAAGCCGCCAACAAATCAACCGGAATTAAGGATAATTACGCACTAGAATAAATGATGTGTCGTGGTACCAGTTATAACACTAGCACAGAATTGATCATTTTACTTTTCTATCTTACTAGATAAATTTATCTTACATTTCTATTTATACAAATATACACAAAGCGTGAAATTTGACGTGTATTGAACGTCTAGATAAGATACACCTGTTTCCTTCATTTATTTAGTGATTTATATTTAGTAAGATAAAAGAGCATCATTAAAATAGATTGGGTTGGTTCCATATTCCAAGACTAATAAAGGGTTGGTTTTTGTTATTCAACTTTTATTCCAAAAAATGGAAACTTCAGCACAAAAGTTTGTACAGTAAATATCATTAATAAATTCAACTGACATCTAACAATAGAGTATAAATGCAAAATGGATCCAGTGAAGGTGAAAATTTTATAAGCGTCTGTTGGTGGTGAGAATACACCTTTGTATTCATTTTACGAACAATTGACATCCGAATCTGAGGATGTTGATGTGGGAGAGAATAGGAATGAATGCATATACTGATGGACGAATGACACCAAGTTTCTTTGTGAGCATTGGCGCGCGAAAGCTCGGCTGTTGTGTGTCGGGAAAACCCTGAACAACCAGCTGGTCGAATAAAAAGCAGTGGCGCGTGCTTACTTTATGTTTATTAAATTGCTACGGCTATTATGTTGCCTTGATGTAGGTTCTAAGCATAGCTGACTAAATAAACAACGCAGGAAAGTGATAAATATCCAAACATGTGTAATATATAAACCTATGAAAGTGGAGGAGGTTGATGGCTTTGATGGTTCTATTCAGCTTCTTCGAATATTTTCAAAGCAATTTAATAAGGGCGGGTGATTCTTAAACGAATAATACATTGTCTCAATTAGTAGAATTAATTTAACGCTCAGTGAAGCAATAAAGACTCGCTCGATGGACCCTAATCATTTAGTTAGCTGAGAGACAATCACTTTCTACATTTTCTTAGGACTTACATTCGTGTCAACGAAACATTCATATCAACTGATTGTGATCGTAGATAAGTAATGGAATACAAAGTTCATGACGTTCAACACACCCTCTTACCTTCATGTACATCATTTCGATCGCCTCCCTCTTTTTTTTTAAAATGTCTGTAATAGTATGAAATACTCTAGGGTAATACTTTTCAATGATGAATAAATATCCTGACGAACTAAGCACGCGCACTACACTCTCATATGCTTTTGACATTTCGCGCCTGTAAGGTATTCTATCTCTCTTTGCTTTTTACCTTTCTCGTGAATTATGACTAGAATGATAAGACAGCTAAGATGCTGGAGATAAGATTGTTCTTTTTTACAGATATTTAATATATTAAGATGAATGACAACACTTGATGTAATTTAATTAAACTTTTAATTATAAAATTTTGAAGGATTTCATTAAGGTAAGTGATTCAGAGAAATGAGTTAAGTTGACTCAAGGGGAAGTGGATTATAGAGAAATTAGTTGCTCCAAATCCTGTAGCATAGCCAAACCTACCTTGATACTTCTCCAACTTTGGTGTGGCAGCCATCATGTCTGGGTCGTGCCACTTGTTAATTATCACAGCTCACTAATCAACTTATTACACACTATTTCACCATTTTTACAACCGGCCACCCTGTAAACTACGCACTAGACGCGCTTTAAATCTAATGTAAACCGACGTGCACCGCTACATTTTCGTTTGTCAACCATCTTCGGGCTGACCGCGTGAACACAACGCTATCTCGCGGCAATTACTAGAGTGAATTGGTTAATAACTTCAAAATGGCGTAGGAATATTTTTTTTATTTATTTCAGTAGCAGGGATCAGTAAACTGGTCATGTTTCCTCTCCTGGTTGATTTCTCTGTTGGTTTTTAGCAGCTAGCCGATAATGTGACAGCGATTCACAACATTTTCAGGTAAGTTTTGTATTTGTATACTAAATGAAATTAAATGCACGTGAAATAGATAATTAATGCATTTATGTTTTTAGGTAAAGTTAGGTGATAGTTGGGATAAAAGGTGGTCAGTAAACTGCATAAGTCATTGAACGGAATAAAAACATTTATAATAATACATCGTGTGTCATAAGACTGTCAACCTTTACGCTTATATTACATCAGACTTTGCAAAATTTACTCAATATATTGACCAAGAGGAGTATTGTCTATACATTTCACAGTGCTTGAAAATTATAAATAACAAATTGACATGAGAGTGTTGGTAAAGAAGAAAACATTAGCTTGGAGTGTTATTGATAATATTATGAGGAATTTTTAAGTGTTATTAAATTATTATAATCCAGTTTATTGAACGAAACCATTGTTACACATCAATAATTTACTCCAAAAAATTAATTGAGGAAATTATTCAAACGTCGGGATTTAAATCGCCCGGGAGCGAGTATCGACTGTCGAACGACGTTCGAGAAATCGATATAATCTGGAAAAGAAAAGCGGGAAATTTCGAATTAAAAGACTATCAATTGGATAAAATATAATAGTTATTTATTATACAATAATTTATTAAGCAAATAAAATGGGAAATACAAAGATAAAACAGCATTATGAAACAGCCAAGAAAACTGGGATTCTTAATATTTCCAATAGAAAAATGATGGAAATTCCAGCGAACATGAAAATGCTTGCTCCAATGCTAAGAACTTTAGATTTATCGCAGAATTTATTTAAAGAAATTCCAGATGAAATTGGTATTTATGTTATTCTTAAACAATTGAATTTAAGTCATAATAAATTATCAGCTTTACCTGAAGCAATGGGTGCTTTGGTGAAACTCGAAATCCTTAATGCTAGCTGTAATCAAATTAGCAGATTGCCAGACTCATTATCTAAACTAACACATCTTAAACAAGTTAATCTATCCGACAATCAAATAGCAGAATTTCCACTTATGTTTTGTGGGTTGAAACACCTGGATGTCCTAGACATTTCGAAAAACAAATTAACGTGTGTACCAGATGGTGTAGTGGGACTTCATGTAATTGAACTTAATTTGAACCAGAATCAGATATCTGTTCTCTCCGACAAAATGGCTGACTGTCCAAGATTAAAAACACTACGACTTGAGGAAAATTGCCTACAGTTTACAGCAATTCCTACGAAGATTTTTAAAGAATCAAATATTTCTAATATTTCACTGGAAGGAAACCTGTTCGAAAACAAAAAAATAGCTGATATTGATGGATATGAAGCATATATGGAAAGATATACAGCAGTGAAAAAGAAAATGTTTTAGAACAATAAGGAATGACAATGAATAGAACAATTTTTTTTCAATTTTTATTGAACTATCATTTATTATTGATGATTAACAATAAAAGAAGTTTTGCACAAAAATTTACTATCGTACTTGAAGCATATTGATATTTAATTATTGTTATTTTATTAGTAATTGTTTTGCAATTAAAAATAACAGAAAGAGTTATTAATAATATTTGTTAAAAATTTTAATTGAAGGTATTCTTCTGTATAATCAAGTTTGGAGTGTAAAAATAATCACTGGTGTTTGAAAAATACGTCATTAAATTGATAAGATGTAATGATTTCTAGTTGTAAACTATCATATTTATCTTTTTATGCAACTTTTAATTATCATATTTCTATCAACTTCTATAAAATCTTCTTTCATAAACATTAAAAAATCATTTCAACTTTTTTCATTAATAATTAATTAAATTTCTTGCAAAAAAGTCTGTCAGCAATATTTTATACATTTCCATGAAAAGATAGTCATTTCTTAGAATTTTACAAAATTTATATCTGTAATGTAATAAACCCAAAGAAATTATATTTTTTATTGTAAAGTATTAGATTTTATTTCATACCCTAATAAATTGTTGAACAAAAGATCAGGGGCTTCGAGACATTTATACGGTACTGCAGTTATAAGTCTGGATGAGATACTGGTTTGACTTACGTAGTTTCAGATAAATATATGTTAATAAATGTGTCTAGAATATGGCAGACTACGGTCATTCGAATTAAAGTGATACACAATGACACTCAGTAGAATTATAAACAGCAATGTACGGTATTAAATGTACGTTGTACAGCTGAAAATATAAATCAATTGATCGTAATGCCGCGGTAGTTATCGGCTTCCTTAGATCTGACAATTGAAAGGGAGAAAGCCTGGCAAAAAAAAGGCTTTTGCCGCGCGGTGAGGAGTGTGTGTGGTTGTAAAACCGTGGCGGGGCTCTGCGTGGTCTTGCGAATGGCCGACGAGAGTCAGGGAAGGATGAAGGATAACAATCAAGACTAATATTCGGCGGGTGAGAAAGCCAAGGTATGTCGTAGACGAGAGATCATCAAGGTGTAACCTTGACTATCAGGTGATTTCATTTCTCTTATCAATGTCTCAATTAAAGTGGAACCGGTGTCATTTTTTGGAGGGTTGTGAACGTTTCGCGTTGTTTCTACCGCGCGATTGATCGACTCAAGGGTTGTATTTTAACTATTTTTGTCAATTAATTATTATTTTAATCTTCTATAAACACGATAATGGATTGGTGATAAATAAAGTCTCGAAATAACTCGGAAATTTTCACTCTGACCGATATGGAGTTCAGTTACTTCGTTACCTGCTCCCGTTTGTTAAGTGTGAACTGGTTTTTAATGAGATGCCGATCATATGGGCGCAGCCTCCTTAGATTTTCGCGATGTATTTATATCAATTCCAACTAATTTGATAATGTTATCTATCAAGTATTTTTAATATAACGGTTACAAGTTTATTATCTATAAACAGTGGATAGTGTTTGGCAGTTATATATTACAAACACAAATGGCATAAAGGGTAATGGCATTCATCTTTTTTTTACGGTTGAAGTGAATCGTGCCGTACGAAAAATCGCAATGAAAGTTTCATGTTTGCCCTAAATTGCTGAGTGTTTTTCTTAATTATATTTTACCACAACAAATGATATTTTAATTATTTTCTCTTAGTTTTATTCGGGTCGTGTGAAAAAATTAACTCTACTCCAATTTCAATTCTTAAAATAAAAAGAAATGTAGACAAAACAAGTTGTTGATAATAAAATGGTTTATTACAGGGCAGAAAATGTCGGAACCCGAAGAGAATTTGGCAATGCCGGACAGTACGACTAGAGAACAACGTCTTGGATTTTCTCATGGTGAAGATGTTCTTCTCCAACGGAAAGATGGCAAATATTATCTTGGAACCATTGTCGAGGTTGACTTGGCCAGAGAGAGATGTTTGGTCAAGTTTTTGGATGATACATCATCATGGTCTTCTGTTAAGGAGCTTACTAAGCTGGCTATGGCTGACTCTGATGTCATGTGTGTACTATGTAAAAAGTCTGATCGGAATAATGACAATGAAGTTGTTGTTTGTGACAAATGTGGTAGAGGTTACCATCAACATTGTCACCAAGTTAGTATTCTTCTATCTTTATCGTAACTTCTAATTATTTATTTACAAAAAAATACAGTAATATGTTTTAATAAATATCAAAGTTACTTAATACAGTGTAATTTTAATTTGTAGCCTGCAGTGTCAAAAGAGGATGCAGCATCTGATTCACATTGGAAGTGTAAAAGATGTTTTGAAACCCCGTTGAGAACACGAGACTCTGGAGATCCAAAGAATTCTATGATAAAAGCAAATATTAGAAGGGTTTGCAGTGGTAGAGATCAACCTCAACCACCTCCTGAAGACATGACAAAGTTGCCGTATGATGTAAGTATTGAAACAAAATCCAACATTAAAATACTTATCATTGAAGATGACTAATCGTACAATTTATTCATGTTCTTAAAAAAAAATCTAAACTCCTCGTTGCTGTTAAATATTTCATGTAAATTTAATTATGGAAAATTTAATCACTTATTTAATGAAAGGAATGCAAAAACATTTATACTTTTTTCATTGGATTAGTGATTATAAATTATTTGATAGTAATATTATTAGATAAATTGTTTCATTAAGTTATTTACATTCTAGCCCGAAATGTTGAATTGGGATATTTATCATCGAGTCAATGCAGAACAAATTTATTGTTATTGTGGGTTAAACGGTGAGTGGTATACACAAATGTTACAATGTGCTAGATGTAAACAATGGTTTCACGAAAAGTGCGTCAGCTGTTTGACACATCCTCTTTACAGCGGAGACGGGTTAGTATTAATTATAAATAATTAATAACAAAATACTAACTACATTTCATGATGTAGTCAAAACTACTTTTATGTATTTAGATGAGATTTAAAAAGGTTCAATTATTTTCATTCAGATTCTATGTATTTGTCTGTTCAACGTGCAATTACGGCAAGGAATTTGTACGGCGGCTCGAATTGAGATGGGTGGACTTGGTGCACCTGATGTTGTACAACTTGACCGTTTATAATGCTAAGAAATACTACGACTTGGATACAGTTATACTTCCGTATGCAAATGAAAATTGGCATTTGTTACAACTACCTCGAAGGGTTAGTATTTCGTAGTAATTATAGTTCTGGCAAACATAGTATCTCTTCTCTAGTTGAGTTTTTCTTTTACATGAAAGTCAGAAGATTTAATTTACAAGTAGTGATCTGTTGAAATATATTTACATTAATAAAAAAATCTTTATTTTAAATATTCTTTTGTTCTATAATTGAATTTTAAAACAATTGATGAATAACAAAACCGTTATTTTTTCAATAGATTCGTGATGTTAGTGCTCAAGAACGCAAAGAAACGATCTTATCAATTTTAACCAATAACAGGAATCGATTCAAATGTGGTCGTGAGATCAAAAAGCGTACAACAATTTGGGGTCTAAGGACACGGTTACCACCAGCTTGTCCACTTGTAGATTTACCACCGACTGGAGTAGTTGATGATTCCGTTTTACCAAGATATTGGGGCATTAATAAAAGAGTTTTGTTATATCTTCCACCAACTCCAGGGTCAGTTTATATAAAAATGCACACGATTCTCCCGTATCTTATCGTTACCATATATAAATTATTCAAAAGAGAATGGAGACTAATGTTCTTTATATTTCTTTTCAGACCCGCATTTTCCGATAATGCGAAACCAATAAATACATCGAAACAGAATCCAGAAACAGATAATGTAGAAATATCTGTAAATCCTTCAGATGTGGTTATGAGAGGTACAGTTTATCCAACACCTGAAGCTAGTTTGAGCACGTGTCCAAGTCCAAGTCCACAAAATCAAACTACAGAATCCCTTCGTGAGAGGTTCGTTCTGTTTTGTTATTAAAGTTATAATTAAACAAATTGTAATTTCTATCCGTATTTATTTTCAATATAAAAAGAACTAAATTAATTTTATCTTTAACTATAACGACAATGATTATTATTATAATAACCACAATAATATTCCTTGATATTATAGGTACAGTGGTGGTGGATTTGTTAAAAAATCATTTCCGTTTCCTAAACTCAGCTTGCAAAGACGTCGGCGGTTAATGGCACTTGGTAGTTCACGAGAGCGTATGTTGCGGAAGCAGAAAAAAAGAGAAAAAGGCTGTGCAGATAACTTGTTATCAAAAACTCAAGGAGTTCGTGAAGCGAGATATAGAAAAGCCAGAAAGTTACTAAAAAATGCCATTGCTAAAGTAAATAATATATTTCAACATTAAAATTCAACCAAGTTCAATTATAAATTGTATTTATAATTCATAACTTATTTTAGAGTAAATCACGTACTCCAGAAGTAACAGATTTACCACCAACGCCGCCAACTTCAGTGTCTGGTCCGCCAACACCACCTGCAACAACATCAGCTATTAGTGAACTTTCAGTACCAAGTTCGGTAGATTTAATGCACCCACTGCCACCGTCAACTCCAGCTGATACAAGCGGAGATGAAACTAGTTCTCGAGGAACCTTAGACTCTTTCATTCCACCGCCAAAAGATTTTGAAGGCAAGAATAATCCTTTCCGTAATTTGAGCGAGTTACTTGGTACACCTTGCAGTGTAGGTCCAGGGACGTCAAGTACTCCTCTTCCATATAATCAGTGTCCAATTACTCTTCCTCTTCCTCTGACTCCCGTGATATCGCAGCCACCCATTGTGCGGCCTGCTAAGCGTCAACTTTCCGAAAAAGATATTATTATTGATAGGAACGGACAAGTTAAGAGACGAAGACAACACAGAAGAGGTCGTCCACCTCAACAGCAACAACAGCAGCAGCAGCAACAACAACAACAGCAACAGTCGACTCAATTTCAGCCAACAGCAAGCAAGACTGCTACGATATTGCCCGCACGTAGTAATGAAGTTAAAAGTGATTTTGTAAGAAATTTAAGAAGCTCATTCAACAGTTCGTCGAGTAGTACTACCAGTCAAATTGGTAACTGTGTGGATTACGCGTTAAATGGTAGAAGATTAAGACAACGTCAAAGTAATGACAAAACAGTGACTCCAGACGTGCAACCGCAAAAGAATCGCAGTATGCCTGTATCGCCCAAGTGTTCTCCAGTAAAACAAACTACCCCAGATATATCCATGGACGACTTAAAGTCCTCGGTTAATATGTACTTTGGTGCAGCAAATAGAATAGCTTCTGGTGAAAAATTTGTAGTGAGAGCCAAGAGGATAGGAGCTAATGGTCAACTGCAGTATCTTATTGAATGGGAAGGACCGAAAACATAACGGTAAAGCATAATTTTTCGATTCATGCCTTATTACAGGCTTAATTGTGCTACGATTAAGTTTCAATTGTTGGTAACAACTATTATTTTCCTTTTATGCATTAGGAATTAGGAAATTTTTGACCCGCGCCATAGTCACTGTCGTTTCATATAATCAACGATTCTCGATGCCAGTGTATATTTTACTTTGCAACGTGAGAATATTTTTGTACTACTGTCAGTAATTTTCCTTTTTATTGGATCATCAGATTAAATTTCTTTTTATCAAGAGTTTCTCAAATTCACTCGCGCCGTCCACTTATACAAGTGATGAAACTTAAATTTTTAAATGTTAAAAATAGATATTTTTTTCGCGAAAATATTTCACGTTGAATTGGAAATTGTAAATAATTATCTGTAAGTATATCAAAAAAACGTCAGTGAATGTGTGACGCGCGTGTAGAAATTCAGATTAAAAAAATCCATATCTCATTGATGATCTTTCTACTGCAATAAGGAAAAATCAACAAATTATTGTGTTATCAAGATTTTTTTGTAAAAAAAAAAACAGGAAAAAATGAAAAAATAAAAATGCAACAAAAATTATTTTTCAATACAATAATTAAGTTTACTCTCAGAATGTCTTCTCCTAAACAGTTAACATCAAATTATTCTCATATGAATACAATTTTGCTTAAGATATCCATCAAATTACAACAAAGTATGTACTTTGTTTGAATCAAAAAAACAACTTATAATCCAGTAAAAGAACTAATAGTATTGCTCATTAATGTTAACTGAAGAGGAAATATAGAACTAATTTTGTGTATAATCGAATAATCAATGATTTTCAATCATCATAATTAATAGCATCATTAAAATATCTGATAAAAATTTGCATTTAAATATATTTAATTTTTGACTGAAGAGAATTAGTGGAGGTTGTACAAAAACAAAAAAAATGAGAGACAGATTCGTATATTTTTAATGATATAATTAATCAACAAAAAATTTGCAAGAATCAAGAGAAGAAAAGTAAAGTAATAATTAATCATTGATAAATTCATAATTTGGTTACTGATCTTTCTCAAGTTTCAAATGAAAAAATAGAGCAAACTGAAAATTGAGACAGTAGAAGGTCTTTTGCAAAATCTTACTTGATAAAAAGAGCTTATTAGGCAATTTAGAAATATTTTTATTTTTTTTAAACGTTGTTAGTACTATAAATTGTGAGCTGACATGAATGGAAATTATCTTCGATAATAAGTTTCGATAATTGTTACAAAACTTAATTATATAAATTCTCCAATTATATGTAAACCGAAGTACGTAATTAAGCCATATAAGTTGTTTAGATAAAGTACATTTTAATACAGAGATTCACTTAATGTAAAAGATTTTAATAATTGTGTTTATTATTACTTTTTTTGATTTAGTTTCATTGTAATTATTGAGTAAAATATCTCTTTTTAAAAATCATCCGAAATCATCATACATACCATATTTATTTCACATACCGCTTTAGATAACCATAGTAATGACAGACATTGTTAGTTCAATTAATTTGTAATATTTTTATAACCGAAAATATTTGTTGTGGTTCAGACATATTAAGACTGGAAATTTATTATTATTCTCACAAACTTGTTAATATTTTTTATTTTATTTGCGATGAAAGATTTCTTTTCTAGATTAAACATTAATAGCAAAGACATTTCTGAAAATTTCACCAAATTTTTTGTGTTGAACAATTGTTTCAACCTAGTTTTTAATTATGAATGATTTTTAAATGAAAAACTGTTGAATTATTTAAGTCCAAGCCATGTTAATAACAATTTTCAATTGAGCATGATTATATTATTAGTTGCCTTTTTAAGCGATTTTTGCTATTAAGTTATATTTTCATTTTAATAGAAAATCTATAATTCAATCATTTTTAACCACACGGTGGTTGGAAAAATAGTACTTTATTTAAATTACATAACAATGAACAAATATTAAATTCTAGATAATATTCAAATGAAAAGAAAAGAACACTGCCAAACATTATTAATTTATGTTTGAACAAAGATATTTAGCTACTGCTTCGCTGTAATGTTTTTATTAAATAGCATGAAAAGTCTTGTGTTCAAATCAATACAATAAGTTTGTTACTATTATTATTAATATTATTGATTTTTAAAATTTTTTTCTCGAAAGGTCAACAGGTTGAATTCAATCAAAACCTATTCGCCTTTCATTTCAGAACACCAATCACTCCGCATTCTCCCTATTTGTATTAATTGTAATGTGTGTCAAGTGGAAGGGGTTATTGTAAAGCATCTAATGGAAGTAATGATAACAAATGTAATAGTGAAATACTTTTTACTATTGTTATGTTCGATGTACTGATTGATTATAATTAATTGGTCTTAATTGTGAAACAAAAATGGTCATGAAAGTTAGGAAAGAACGAATTATTGCCAGTATCGTATGTAAATATTCATTTTTGTAGATAAATAATATAGAAATACATTATTGTAAATGTATGTCTGTGGCATCATGTGAGATTTGAGGTGAGATTACATGAAATTGTTGTAACGAATTAGATATGAAAAAAAAAAATGATTCAATAAAAATTTAAAAAAAATAAATAAACGTAAAATTATAGTGAGAAAGATCTTGAGAGTTTTAAATGCTTATAGCAGTGTTTTGTTCATTAGAAAAAAAACTCTAACTACCCACCGATTGTTAGTAAAAACAATGAATTTCAATGGTTAATAATTATAATTTTTTTACATAAGATCTAGAATAATAATAATATCAATGAAAATGGATTATGCAATTCACCTCAAGTCGTATCAGATGTTGAAAATATTCCAATATTTCAAAAATAAATTTTTGTGTGATAACCAAAAGTGTATTAACGAATTCCTAATCATTTTAGATCTGAATGGAATAATTGATTTATAATAAATGTTACATAAAAATGTCCAACAATTGATCTAAAAATTTTTGGTTACAAAATTTTTATTTTATACAAAACAATATTATGGAAAAAATTTTATAACGCAATGATGTAAGCATTATGTTATTATATCCAAGTGGATAAATTTAATTATTGTTTAATAATTAATTATTGCCACATAATTGGTGTAGTTTATTTTCAAGACATTATTTGCAATGAGCGATTATTAAAAGTAGGACTTTTAAAATAGGCATTTTAATCACAAGAAAATTGCTTGAGGTAATTGAGTTGCTTCGTTTTTATTGTTGTTTTATTTAGTTTTTAAAAGAGACTGATATGTAGACGTTTTTCAATCTCATTATTTTTCGTTTGGAGAAAAGGTCACTCTATTTTATTTCAAAAATGAACTATTTGATTTGATTTTATGTCAAGTCCAAGAAAACGTACTATTAATGAATTTTTTCTTCCAAATAATTACTTGAAAATGTTTATATTGAAAAATGCCAATGAGTTAAAAAAGTCTCCATCGTTGCATGTTTATACATTAATAATAGTAATCAATCTAAACAATGTTTTCAATTGTCGCTCGCATTATATGTATATATCATCGTTGGATAAATACATTAAAGTAATACATTCGCAATTACATAAACAATTTGTTGAGTAAAATGCATGAATGAATGAGTGATGATCAGAGTGGAGTATAAAGAAGTAGGAATCTTTTCCTACCAACTTATTTTATTTAGAATACTGACGAAATGTGGATGAAGATATCCTGCGCAAATGTTTAGAATCATATAGTTTATATAATCTTTTTTTCATGTACTCTCAACTATGCCTTTATATCCAATAAAGGTCTGTATTAAGTTATAGAATATTTCGACTTTGGTACAATCTGCTCTATAATATACGAATTAACACCACTTAACGGGATATTAAAATGTCTTATGATTAAGAAGATTGGTGTGATGATTGTAAAGTATACGTACAGTTTTCAGATGATAATAAATACAAAAGCTATCATTCCAATTTTTTCCATTTTATTATTGCCTTAATTATTTTTTCATGATGATAAATAAATAATTATTATAAAATATTCAAGTAATTTTAATGGATGATTTTTTTATTTTATACATTTACTTCACCACTATGTTTTCCTTTGTTCAAAATTCTAATTTGCATAGGATTAATTACTATGAACAGCACTAAAAGTAAATGTCTTGAGAATAGAAATTCTCAGAGTTAAATACTTGTTTGGTAAATTAATGAGTCCAAAGAGATCAACGCACAAAGTTGGCAGGGTCTGGATGTCGTGATTTGCATGTTGATGAGCTTCGCATTTGTTGAAGACTTGAATTTACAAACAACCGTGGTCAATTCTTGAGCTCTTTTCAAACTGCCATAGGAACATCTTCTGGCTGAATAACACATGGCGGCTGCTTCAAGTATAGATAGCCGCAATACAACATCAAAATTCATTTTCATTAAAAATCGCAAATCTTTTTTAAATTAATTTTCTTACGTAGACTCTGAAATAGCTAGTCTTTTAAATTTCCAGTATAGAAAATTTTGGTTCCAGAAAGGTTCCCTGAATGTTCCCAAGTGGGGAAGTTCCCCGACGTTCTTTTCGTAGTACTATGGAGAACGTTTAGGGAGCAAATAAATTTTTTCTCTCTAGTCCAAACGTACTTTAACTGTTTTTTAATTGCAAAAAACAATATATATAATGAAATTAATGAAATAGTGATATATTTGCGGAAAACTAAGAGATATAAAAATAAGCATAACTTCTATGCTAATAATGCTACAAGGGTGATTGAGGGCTTAAATGAAAGATCTCGATGAGAGGGAAAAGATCAATATAGTTAAAATCATAATTGTCGCAAAATTCATGCAAAAATTAGAGCAAGTTCCCGTTTTACCCCACTTTAGGAAGGAAATAATGGATTTTTTATAAGTTTGACCCGATTCCGCATTTCTACGCATCAAGACGAAGAGAATGAGTGGTCGATCATCGAAATCGGATAACTTTGATTTTTCGACCCAAAAAAATGGCAAGTGGTACCCCTTTCCATTTTTTTTGGCCAAAAAATAAAAGTACTCCGATTTTCAAGTTTGACCACTCATTCTCTTCGTCTTGAAGCGTAGAAATGCGGAATCCGGGCACCGCCCGGAAAAACTCACTTTAACACCCTCAAACAGGGGTAAAACTGGATACAAATTACTAACAATCATCCCCTTCACTTTAAACCCTTATAACTCATGAACGGACGGTCCAATAACTTTTTTTAGGGACGTTTTAAGAAGATCAAAATCTAAGCTATCTAACGATATCCATATATTTATTGAAAAAAAATTCCTTCACCCTTAAAATCGCTGAAATATAAAAAAAAATCACATTTTTTTGGGACTTTGCCAACTATTTTGGCAATTTTGAGGCTGAAATAAATTTTTTATACACTTTTCATGGATATGGATCTTTAGCTAAGATTCTGAAGTTTCCAAATACTGCAGAAAAATCGTCATTAAGCAATTTGTTCAGAAGTTATAAAGGTCCAAAGTCGAAAGTAGATGATTTTTTGACCCTTGCTTCAACTTTGAACCTCTATAACTCTCATACAAGTCATCTAACAATGATTTTTAAGGGGTATTTGGAAACTTTAGAATCTTAGCTAAAGATCCATATCCATGAAAAGTGTATAAAAAATTTATTTCAGCCTCAAAATTGCCAAAATAGTTGGCAAAGTCCCAAAAAAATGTGATTTTTTTTATATTTCAGCGATTTTAAGGGTGAAGGAATTTTTTTTCAATAAATATATGGATATCGTTAGATAGCTTAGATTTTGATCTTCTTAAAACGTCCCTAAAAAAAGTTATTGGACCGTCCGTTCATGAGTTATAAGGGTTTAAAGTGAAGGGGATGATTGTTAGTAATTTGTATCCAGTTTTACCCCTGTTTGAGGGTGTTAAAGTGAGTTTTTCCGGGCGGTGCCCGGATTCCGCATTTCTACGCTTCAAGACGAAGAGAATGAGTGGTCAAACTTGAAAATCGGAGTACTTTTATTTTTTGGCCAAAAAAAATGGAAAGGGGTACCACTTGCCATTTTTTTGGGTCGAAAAATCAAAGTTATCCGATTTCGATGATCGACCACTCATTCTCTTCGTCTTGATGCGTAGAAATGCGGAATCGGGTCAAACTTATAAAAAATCCATTATTTCCTTCCTAAAGTGGGGTAAAACGGGAACTTGCTCTAATTTTTGCATGAATTTTGCGACAATTATGATTTTAACTATATTGATCTTTTCCCTCTCATCGAGATCTTTCATTTAAGCCCTCAATCACCCTTGTAGCATTATTAGCATAGAAGTTATGCTTATTTTTATATCTCTTAGTTTTCCGCAAATATATCACTATTTCATTAATTTCATTATATATATTGTTTTTTGCAATTAAAAAACAGTTGAAGTACGTTTGGACTAGAGAGAAAAAATTTAAAAAAAAAAAAAAAAATTTGCTCCCTAAACGTTCTCCATAGTCCTACGAAAAGAACGTCGGGGAACTTCCCCACCTGGAAACATTCAGGGAACCTTTCTGGAACCAAACTTTTCTATACGAATTACCTTACTTATTGACTTTCTCATCAAACATAAAGATAAATATATGTTGTATAGGCGTATGAGATTATTATTTACTTACCTGCATAATTGGAGATTGGTAAACAAATTTCATCAATCAAAGATCATTAAAATAATCAAATTATAATTCCAATCAATCGATGAGAATGCGCACAGTGAAAATAATATTTTATTATAAACTGATTATCTCGGAAGATTATTTATGAATCCTGTAAGAAAATGAAATCTTTCCTATCGATAGAAGAATATCATAATAACAAAGCAATAGCTTCTGAATTTTTACATCTATTCATCCTCAGCTCTACCATCGTTCAAAATGACTGAAGCTTAAAAATAAACTGATACTTATTATATAATAAAGACTTTTATAGTTATTCTGAAATATAATATTATAATAGTTAATCATAACGAGCATCAATTCAGGAAATTCGTGCAAATATGAATGAATAAAAACACAACATGTATGATAAATGGTTAGACTATCTTTATTATTACATCTGTTTAAAAGACATAACTTATTTATAAAAATATGGGAAGTAAGGCGAGGGGACAAATAGAATGAAAATATCTTTAGTTTTCTTATCGAGCAGTTAATACTAATAAAACTCAGTACTTTTTACAAGTTGCAAAGAATAACAAATTCTATTATAATTCGAATTCTCTAATTTATCGCTAATCATACACTACATTATATCTTATAACTATAAATAATTTTTAACACAGAGTAAAGGTGCGTTAGAGAGCAAACATTTTTTGATAAGAAATTCCTATTTTTCATTTTCCCTCATAATCAGCATACATATTTCGCTCATGTAAACAGTGTGATCAATTTATGAGGACATTATTACTTGTTTCAAATACATTTTAGATTCAAAATTGTCATATTATCTCCGCATTTATCATTTTAATTACAAAAAACACACTAGTATGAAAATATTATTGTTACATTCAGAAAATCGTACGCAGTCTTCATGAATAATCGCACTTTTTGATCAAACAGCATGATATATTAAGAATAAAATCCATTTTCATAAATATATAATTTGAATTATTTAATTTGATATTGTGTCTCAATCGCACCGCTGTGTGTAACCCAGTATTGCATTAAGAACAGTATCAGTATAATATCCTTAATGCAACATAAAATCACACAATAAATGTAAACGTCATTATTAATAGTATAATAGAGAAACATGATTATTAATATATGTAGACCATCTTACAAAACAAATTTATCAAATAGCAATTATATTTGCTAACTTATTCAGTATAAAAATATGTAAAAACAGTTTGTACAAAAATCGAGAGAAAAGATGATACAGAAATACTCGACAGTGTAATAATTAAGACAAAAAAATTAGATTATTTACAATTTTTTTTTTTCTTTTTATAAATATCTAAAAAATAAAGAAAAGAATTACACTCAATGATTTTATTAAAAGTTAAATTGTCATGCCTTTGTTGTTATTAATCATTCACTACTAATATTGCAAGCACAAGTCGATTTATATTAATCAATATAACCTTTTCTCTCGCAACAATCTAATGAACTTATTAATTATGTAAACACCATTGGTGATTGTGGTGTTTATGTCGCTACAATTTTTTTTTTCATTTATTTATACTCACTCAAACTTGGTCAACTAAAATTTGAGAATTTGTTTACCATTTCTAGGACACACGACTTATCTTATTTGTAAAATATCAACATTTCGAGAGATTAATAAACAAAAAAATTACACTATAGTGTTAGTTTAAAATGCATATTAAAAAATTCTACAATAATATATTTTTGAAATGAAGAAAAAAAAATTAAGTAAAATGAGTAATATACGAATTGGAATGTCTGTGTATGGAACAACTTGTCGAGAGGAATGGTATTAAATTCTTGAAATCTCAGTCAACCATTTGTATCTTACATTACATTGCTCTGATAGCACGATTTATCATTTATTTGTGCAATGTATGTGACATTAAACGCATAATTCAGTAATTTAACTAATTGAATATTAGCTAGAATAATTGAAAGGCACAAATTTCAATTCCCTTTCTTTCTCTCGTTCGCTATGTAATCGAGTGTTTCCTGTTTTCTCAGTTAACATTATGAGAATTATTGTCAATTCGTCCCGCCTGTTATAATATAAAGATTGGCAGTGGCGATTTGAAATATTGAACGATATATATTTACTACAGAGACATATCTCACTGGATATAATCGTGCTATTCATACATATTAAATAGAATATTACAGTTACATACACTCTAAGTTGAATATTTTTAACACGATTGTCTTTTTTTATTGTCTTTTCTCATTATCTGAAATGTATTTACAATAAAATTTGTAATTAACTCATTGATGTCTCTCATTCATTTCTCGTTCCATCTTATTTTTGCAATTCTTTGAGAAGGTCCTCACACTCTGGCAAGTTTGAAGGCACCCTTCATTTTATCATTGAGCTCAACTTTGCACTGTTACGTATAAAAATTGATTCTCATAAAAATATAATAGTTTACTTTGCTTATTTCTTACTACACGATTTACATAATTAAAGAGGCACGATTAATTGATTGAGTTATACATAGCAGTGTCTCTGATTCCAACGAAGTCTTTGTGAAAAATTTATATATATAAAATATATATAACGTTTATATATATTTTGCTTATTATTTCTATTTATATATAATATTTATATGCATAAATAATTGTTCACACGAGTGAACATTAGTTGAATCCCTTATATATAAATTGCCTCGGAGCCTTTGCTACTTTGGTGCGGTGCACCGGGTGCATAGGCATTCGGCGAGGCCATGCACTCGGACCAGTCGCTGTTCGAATGTGGCGAACTCGACGACCAATGACCAGGGCTGTCAGGCGATGGTGTTGGAAAACTCTCTGGAGCTTGCATCAGATGCTGAGGCGTCACATCAGGTCCTGAATGATGTGATGGTGGTGTCAAATATTGGTAGTATTGAGTCTGCTGCTGCTGTTGCTGTTGACTATTTTGTTGTTGCTGCTGTTGCTGTTGTTGCTGTTGCTGCTGTTGTTGCATCTGTGCTTGTTGGCTAGTAGTGTACGGTAGGTTATCAAAATCAAAACCTACTGGTGGCATTCCCCCATGTTTTTGATGCGTTGCTTGTCGCATTGCCGCAATATGTGTTGGTGAGGTAGGAAGTGAAGGCCTACTTTTTGCAGGTGACGGTGAACCCATATAACTTGCTTGTGGCGAGAGAGTCATGTTTGATTGCACAGAGTGCGGCGGTGATTGATTACTATATGGTGGTGATAATGTGTTAATCATGCCCTGTGTCTGGCGTTGATGAGTAGCTAACAACTGCTCATGAAAATTGGGCAGACCGTAATTGGTCGTGAATGTATCGAGCCCAAGTTGTTGAAGACTTTGCATTGATTGACCCTTTATACAATCCTCGTAAGGCGGGGGTTGTTTTGCTGTTGTTGTATGGTTTACTAATGGGAGCGCGTTGCTGTAGAGACTTGCGCTGTCGTAAGGACTTGGCAAATTTCCTTCGGCTCCCTCCGCTCCCTGAGGGATTTCCTGGTTTGGGGGTTGAGCACCACGTTTTGCTGGTGGCTTCTTTACTGACGGTTTCCGTCTCACCGCCACTACCGAGCCTTCTGAATCTGGGCTGTTGGGATTTCCAGGAGCCCCTGCCTTCGGTCGCTTCTTGGCTTTCGATTGTTTCGGCGCTGATCCAATGACTGTTGGTGGCGTAATAAGTTGTGGATGGTTTGGAGATCCTGTAGATGATTGATGTTAAAATTAATGATAATTCAAAATAAAAAGTAAATAATAAATAATGAAATGAACATAAAAACTTACCCATGAGAGGTCCATTTGGCATCACAGAGACCATCTGTGGAGATCTGGGCACATGCTCCTCAAGTAATCTAACGATGTCATGATGTAGCCTTTCACTTGCTACATCTCGAGGTAACCGATCCATATGATCAGTAATTTCTCGATTAGCAAACGTATCTAGAAGAGCTTTGCAGGCTTCAAAGCTTCCTTCTCGTGCTGCGAGGAACAGCGGCGTTTCATCCTTGTCGTCCTGTGCATCACGGTTCGCTCCGTGAACCAGGAGAATATTTACAGCGTCCACATTATTAACAGCTGCGGCCCAATGGAGTGCTGTCTTTCCGCTATTATCAGCAGCATTAATATCTGCATCAGCATTTATGAGATCTTCTACCATTCCTTCAGTAGCAAGTCTAGCTGCGAGAATTAATGGCGTAGTTCCATCATGCATTCTTGCGTTCAAATTAGTTGCACGATTTCTTAAAAGTATTTGGAAAACACCCATTGCATCTGCAGCTACGGCAGAGTGTAGTGGTGTTCTTCCAGTGTTATCCTGAGAATTAGCGTCTGCTCCAGCATCTAATAGTCTCTTTGCTGCATCGGCTCGTGCGAATCGCGCTGCTAAATGAAGAGACGTCTCTCCACTCTTCTCAGTTGTTGCATTTAAATCTGCTCCTTGTGCGACAAGATCTGCTATAACAGCTGCAGTACCATCACCGTCATCTTCTTCATCTCCAGTATCTAATCCTCCTCCTCTAACTGAAGCAACCATTAATGGAGTCATTCCGTGTGGTCCTATTGGGTCAATGTCTTGGCCATGTTCAAGACTTGGAGGAGTTAAAACACCACCTGCATCAGGTCTACGAATTTGTGCAGCATCTAAGTGTTGTTGAGTCCATACTCTTGGTTCAGTTTCTTCATAATCTGTAATTGCTGTGTGATCACTTGCGTAACCTGGTTCAATAGCACGCATTCTCTTCGATGGTGGTAGATCTGATTCATCATCAGACCATTGTTGAGGTCTTCCATTTCCAACATCCATGTCCATACAATTTACAGAAGGTTGTTTATTCAAATTTCTCATTTCTTGTCCATCTGGTCCACGTCTTCGAGATCTTCTTCGTTGTCCACTACCACTACTTGTTCTCAAGAAACCATCTGGGAACCAGGTGATACCTACAGCACGTTTCTTCTGAGCTGTTATCAAAATTCCTACTAACAGTCCTCCAAGAACTACAATGATAACACCAATAAATACGTATTTGTAGTTTGTAGGAGATTCTGGATACTCTGGTCCTTGAGGTCCAACTACACCTCGTATTTGTTCAATGGGGAAATTCTTCGAGATAGTATGTTTAGCAGCAGTTGCAGCAAGAAATTCTGCAGCTTCATTAGCAGAAGGGAAACAAACTGCTCCTTGTGTTGTTGTACATTTTCTATTATCAATTTCCAGATAAGCTACAACACCTTTCTGGTTATCACCATAAGTTGATGGTCGTCCTATTATGCCCGACTGCATATTCTGATCTCTATCGCCTTTCCAAGGATAAATCATATCATTACCAAGTTCATCTTGTTTAACTCTTAGGGTCGTCCTTAGTTCGTGACCAATATCTCTGAGGAAAGCGACAGAATTTTTACGGAATGTTTGCATATCCAATCTTACGACAATAGAGATAACTCCTTCTGCAAGTGATGGTGGGGTTTCACGTTCACAATCCAAACCGTCCCAATTACACTCTTCATTGTTACAACCATAGTCACAGTGTCCGTTAGCATAATGCTTGCGACAATAAGCATCATAAATGGGATTACAAGGTGCTAACTTTTTCTCACAATCTCTGCCATCAAATAAACATTGAGCATTATTACAAACCTCATCACAAACTCCATTCATAAAAACATCCCAGCAGTTAATTGGAGCTGTACAATTTCTCCAGGGATTAATGCCCAGAGAACAATCATTTCCGTCAAAGTTACATGCGTATCTGTTACATTCTTGATCACAATGATGATTACCTGCTTTCTCTTCACAACGGTTCTCGATACATTTTTTCTTTTCGCGTTCGAGATCTAATTCGTAGGCATTCAATACTTTAGGAATAACAGCATTTGGTCTTCCAAATACTCCACCGTGGCTATTCATGTCGTAGATTTCACAATTTTTACCAGTCCATTTTGGTGGACAGTAACAAGCGTAATCACCAAAAAGATTTTCACAAACAGCATCGGCTTGTTGACATGGGTTGCTGTCACATTCATCTTTAGCATCGATCTCACAATGGGTTCCAGTTGTTCCAGGCGGACAATAGCATCTGTATCCCATTTCCGTTGCAGCAACTCTACAAGTACCACCATGAAGGCATGGCTCGGTATCACAATACGAACCGGTGAATTCGCAGTTCGGTCCATAATAATCCGTTGGACATAAACAAGTATGTTCAGTTTGTTTAGCCGTGCAAACTCCTCCATTCTGGCATGGAGAACTGTCGCAGAAGTTCACTTTTGCTTCACAATGACGGCCCATATATCCTGGTTTACAATTGCAATGGTAGTTGTTGACAAGTTGAACACAATCTTGAGTACCGGGAGAAGCACAAGGTTTAGAGAGACATTCATTGATATCTCCTTCACATCGGGGACCAACAAATCCTGGAGGGCATTTACATTCGAATCCTCCAACTTTATCTGTACACGTTCCATTGTTATGACAAGCTCCAGGCACACAATCGTCAACATTTATCTCACAAATAATACCGAGAGTTCCTGGTGGACATGAGCAACTGAAATTGTTGATGAGATCATGACAAGTTCCACCATTCTGACAAGGATTAGGTTTACAATCGTCAATGTTAAGATCGCAATTTTGTCCTTGGAAGCCTTTAGTACATTGACACTGATAGGAGCCAACAAGATCTTTACAAATAGCACCATTTTGACAAGGCGCTGAGTCACACTCGTTGATCTCTTCTTGGCAATAAGAACCGGTATATCCTTCCAGACAATGACAACGATGACTATTACCAATGTCTTCACACGTTCCATTATTACAGAGATATTCTTCTGGAACATTCTTTTTAATGGCTGCGTTTTTACAAGATACCATTTCCACGTCGCAAACTTTTCCTGTCCATCCAACTGAGCAATTGCAATGATATTTATTCTTATGTTGAACGCACGTAGCGCCATTCTCGCAAGGTTTATCTGCACACCAATCGACGTACATGTCACAGCGTTGGCCAGTGTAACCATAAGGACAGTGGCAAACGTAGTGATGGTTGATGTCATCATGGCAGGTTGCTCCGTTTAAGCAAGGTGAACTATCACACTCGTTAATCCGATACTGACAATTGGATCCGGTATATCCTGGCTGACAAACACAAGTATAGTTGTTTATACCATCAATACATTTGCCACCGTTCATACAACTACTGTCCGTGCAATCTTCATCGTTCGTTTGACAGTTGATTCCAGAAAATCCAAGTTGGCATTGACAAGTATAAGAGTTGACATATTGATTACAGCTAGCTCCATTCTTACATGGTGACGATTCACACTCATCAATATCAATCTCGCAGTGTTTACCATTGAATCCGTCAACGCAAAGACAGGTATAATCTCCAATTCCATCCAAACAAGTTCCTCCATTTTGGCAAGGGAACGATGCACAATCGTCAGTGTTAATGATGCAATCACGGCCTTCATATCCTTTGGCACATACACATTGATAGGATCCATTGGTATTTCTACAAGTAGCTCCATTTCTGCATGGTGATGTTACCACACACTCATCTACATCTTCGTCACAGAGTCGTCCAGTGTATCCAACCGTACAGGTACAGGCAAAGTCCAAGAAATTCGATGATGGAGTACATTTAGCACCGTGAAGACATTTATTAGGTGCACAAGGATCTAATTTACCTTCACAGTTTCTTCCAGTATGTGGTAATTCACAAACACACTTGTAATCGTTGACAAGGTCAATACATGAGCCTCCATTTTGACATGGGTTATTGGCGCAATCATCAATATTCGTTTCACAGTTAGTACCAGCGTATCCAGCCAAACATTGGCAACTATAATCATTCAGATGATCAATACACATTCCACCATGCTGACAAGGATTAGATCCACACTCGTCGATGTCAGCTTCACATCTTTTACCGCCGTATCCAGGTAAGCAGTGGCAGATAAACTGATTTACGCCATCTTCACAAGTACCGCCATTAATACAAGGATTGCTTGCGCATTCGTCGACGTCGCTAAGACATCTAGCATCATAGTAACCACGAGGACATTCGCATCTGTAGCCGTTTATCAAGTCAATACATCGACCACCGTTAGCACATGGATTGCTGGAACATTCGTTGATGTCTGTCTCACAATGTTGACCAGTGAAACCCGGCTCGCATTCACAGGAGTACCTAAAATAAATGATCAACATTTAGTATTGAATCTTATCACTATCTTTCAAATAAAACAGCAAATTCAAACAACAAATTTCTTCAAATTTGGTAATTATTTAAATTGACGATCTAAATTGAGATAAAACACATATTTTTATTATTATTATTATTTAAATAATTGCCAAAAGTTTATGAAACAAAAAAACATGATAATGAATGTAAGTGAGGATGTGAAACAAAAAATAGCAAGTGAAGTTAAACGGCAGGAATGATTTGAAAGCAACATCAAAAAGCACACGCTAGCACACATTTTTCCACATAATGTTACGTACCATTCGACTGCAGGCATCCGATTGCTGCTCGAGTGTCGGTAGTTATTGAAAAAGAAAGCGCATGATAGAAAATCAGATTAGTATAAGGCTTGGTTTGTAAATTATAAGTAGGTAAGAATTCTACGCGACAAGAAGCCATCGAATGGTTCCGATCACGAGAACAATGATTCAATTTAAATGAGAAAATTAAATCAATAAAAATCTATACTAACCTGTTGATACCATCAATACATCGAGCACCGTTTCTGCATGGGTTGCTGTAGCATTCGTTAACGTTGATTTCACAATTGGTACCAGAAGTTCCAGGTCTGCAGATACATTGATATCCATTGATTCTATCCTCACAACGTCCGCCAAACTGACAGGGATTACTCTCACACTCGTCAATCTGGGTTTGACATAGTTTTCCAGTGAAACCTGGGAAGCAGCTACATACAAAAGAGTTCTCTCCATCGATACAGGTACCACTGTGACATGGATTTGACTGACAGTCATTGATATTCGTTTCACAAGATGCTCCCGTGAATCCTGGTGGACACTCGCACGTATATTTAGCTATCGAGTCCTGGCAAGTACCACCATTCTTGCATGGTGCTGACGCACAGTCGTCTATGTTTATCTGGCAGTGTGATCCAGCAAATCCTTTAGCGCAGTCACATTTAAATGAGTTTACTAGGTCTGTGCAGATGCCGTTGTTCAAGCAAGGATTTGTTGCACATTCGTCAATGTCAATCTCACACTGCGTTCCAGTGTAACCTGAAAAATTTTTTTTTTCATTTAGAAAGTGAATGATAATCATGTTTATACAAGAAGCTTTTTTTTTTATTTCTATTGAAATGAAAAAAAAACCAGAATAAAAAATGATCAAGAGTCATTTTTAAATTGGAAGAAAAACAGGTAATAATTCGACCAAAAATTTTTTACATGAAATATAAAATATAGTATTGAGTTTAATAAACTTGTTTAAAATGATGATGGCTACTTATGTATAAAAAGTGATAACGGAAGCGTTTTTCGGGAGCAGCATCAGCTAACGAAGGTCAGATCGTTTAAATGAAATTTAATTAAATAAAGAGTTATAATTTTTTTCATGTTTGGCTTTAATTACACGTGAAATCAGTACGGCTGACCTGTGTTCTGGCAATCGAGGCCAATTAGTACTGAATCAAGATGCTGATGGTCTGCAGAACAAGCAGTCCAGGAAGTTGAGTCGACAAAAAGCTTTGTAAGTATCCAAAAAAAGATATTATGTGTCTTAAAGTCTCCTGTTAGAGTTCCCTGTAATCTCTTTGATTATATGTGTGAAAAAATAACAGTTTAAAGATACTGAGTGTCTTGACTTCATAAGATTATTGTATAAGATTTTTCGATTAGTTCCAAGCGTGAGAGGTATCTCAAAGAATGTACGACTAACCCACGCAACCTATTTACTTCATACGAACATGACAGTTTCAATTGTCAGCCGGAAACCTTCATTTCTACTGCCTCATTCTCTTCTCTAAGATACTCTTTACTCTCTCAACTCGCGGTTCCGCGTCTTCACAGAGGACATACTTGCCGACTTCAAATTAACATACGAATACGTTTGCTTGCGTTGCGGCCCAAAGAACGTCGTTGAATTATTAAACACCTAAGGGAGGGCCCGAGGCGGGGACCACCGGGGAATTTTTAGCCGTGACTAGACGTACCATAGTCCATTGTTCTGTAAGATGTGGGCTTTTCTAATCTTCAAGTGTTCTGACTTTGCATTGAGACTACAAAAATCAACAAAAATATCTGATATTCTGCATTTTATCACACAGTCTTTAATAAAATTATTCCATATTCAGTTATTGACATTTTTAATCTTTCCTTCTCAACTAATTCACTTCTAAGAATCAATTATCAATCCTGGACCTGAGAGAATATTTTAGAAAATATCTTTTATGAACCATTAGTTGTAGAAAAAAAATATGTATTTTTTCCTGTTGATTCTCTATTCAATTTTGATATTGGAAACATATTCATAAGCTGAACGACAATTTTTCGTGTCAGCATTCATTCAGCTTCTCCATGACCATCAAGAAAAATGACAGATAAATGTCAAGGAGTCTCTTGAGGCTTCTTCTCGTCTATTCTCGTGTAAAGTTTTTTCATCAATCATTTTTAAAAGGGTTTTAACATAAGACAAACGTGCTATTGATCTCGTGTGAACATAACACCGTAACACTTACAGAATAAAGTGTAAATTATTCAACATAAGTTTATTCTTTTATGCTTGAAAAAAATTTCAAATCAACGTTTTAAATCGAAACAACGCTGAAGTGTCAAGTTGCAACAAATTCGACCTCAAGCCAGTGATAAATCAGTACTCACAAGTTGAATACCCACGCACCGAACCAATTTATTTCACTCTTCGTTCAGTTATTCTTCCTTATCAACTTTCCAGTCTTTCCAATGATCATCAATACCAGTTATACTTAATTAGTAATTCTAGAGTACAAAGTAAGTAATAAAAGTAATGATCGCTTGAGAACTTGAAGATGATAATATGATGCTTATACGCGAGCCAATGCGAATTTCCGCGAGGTCGACAAAGACCGCATCCGGTATCAAATTAATTGACTTAATTGAGTCTCTCTTCCGCGCCGGATTCGAGACTTCCGGCTCCTGATTCTTTCGTGTCTTCCTACAAATTTTCATTTCCTTATTTTGCAATCACTTGCTTCTTTTTTCCTATACTTTTGTATTATACATTATGATCTTCATAAATGAACTCGTAATATTGTTGATTCCCATCAAAAACAAAGATCCTAGTAGGTTGAATAACTGAGACTTTGTTTGAAATTCAACACAGAAGTATAGTTTTCTAAAGTACAAAGCACACAATACCCTCTAATGACTAGACTCTTTTTCCCTCCATCAATTACATAATTGGTAATTTGGATTGAAAATATTTCCTAAACATTCAACAGTATCATCACAATAGAATGTTTTCAAAGAATGACTCAAACTGTTTTATATTATAATTTCATTGGCCTGTCAACCTGGTAAGACAAGTGCATCTTTTAAAGACTAATACATTGATTCTAAGATCATACCAGCATGCAGTTTCACAAGCAAGTTTTACTCCCACGTTAAGCTAAGAATTATTTCTCTCTTTTTCTCATTTCTCTCTCTCCTTTTTCCTCTACTTCAACTCCAAGACTGTCCGCCTCATGTTCGGATAATTGTAATCTATTGCTCATGTGTTTCTAGCTAAGCAAGGCGAGAGAGTCGACTTGTGCGCATTGATAAAGTGTATATAAGCGAGTCGCGTGTCTAAGGTACATGTACGTGAGTCATGGTGCTGGTGTGAATGAGAAGGTATGAATACAAGAAAGGTACGCCCGCGAACCAGCACCTTCAACTTAAATTAGAAAAGCAGTATCTCGTTAACACCAACTGTATCCTGCTGTCTCCGAGCCAGTTTTGAGATTAAAAATCAGAACTGCCAACAACATTGAACCTTCCAATAAATTTTATCACTTTCCATTCTTTCTTTTTTTAGTTTCATTTATAATCATGAGTCTTACAATGATAATAATAATAATAAAATATTATTACTGGGGCGTTACTAAACGATTAAATAATAATTTGCAGCAAGTGCTCTAGAGGTTTTAAGATATCTTTTTGAGCTTTATGGTGCTCGTGAATTGATTAATAATAACACATAATTAGTTTATTATTAAAGTAAATTAAACGATTAAATAATTTGTATCAATTTTTTTGAAATTTTTCAAGGGATAGTTGCGGAACCTCTGAAGTTGCTTGGTATGTGTCTTGATTAAGGGCCACGAAAGAACATGACTAGGATGTTGTAGCGGGATTCTCTGGCTATTAACTCAAACGTGGATCGATCGCGCACGCGGCTAGAATCGAAACACGTCGACAGAAAATTTCTCCCTTGCTCCTAGTTTGTTAAGAATAAACGGTAAAAGATAATTGGGCAATGCGAGTCAATCATGTGAATTTCACTCAATTTCTATCATCTTTACATTATATTACACGACTTCAAAATGATCTAAAAAATGTACACAAAAAAAATTTAGCAACTCTGGTTATTAGATGATGATAAAACATTGTTTTCACAAGAAAGATACTTTTACAGTTGACCAGAAAAAAAAATAATGAAAAATTGATCATAAAACTAGACGAAGACTTACAACACCTGAATTCCTCAAGAAATTCCGTACAGTAACAACTACGTTGCACCGTCCTCGTAAAAGTCAAAGTGCTTATGACGCGACAGACTATTCTCAATGTGCAGGTGCTTTAGAAAAAATATTTACTAGCAGTATTATCATGTTCAAGATATACAGACACTTGATAATGGCACATAACGGGGCTATTTTCTCATGTACGTTTCTCTAATCAAGAACTACAAGCAATAAAACTTTCTTGTTGCATTCAAAATAATTTTCTTTAGTAAATAAAACCACAAGTCTATCGATCATTAAGTTCTTTACAATGACTGATCAATGATCATGAAAGTACTACACTCTTTCAAATGCATTCGCAAGTGATCGATCAAGCTTAGATCGATCGATCGATCACTCAGTCAACATTCCTCAATGTTCTTCCTTGGTGACTTCCACATGAGATTCTCATCGGTAGCCAATTAATCGACGTAATTGATTCGCGCCTTGACTGCACACCAACCAATGCATGTACGACCGTATTCACGCAAGAAATCCAATGGTTTATTTGCATTTTTCTTCGGGACTAATAAGAAGCCAAGATACGAAAAAGAAGACAAACAACCCGGTCGTTCGTCAAGTGACCAGTTCGATCGGTTATGCTAATGTCGTTGGATACATCCAACTCTTATGCCGCCCCCAGACTAATTACAGACATGTTTCTGACAATTTTACTCCAACTAATCTCTAATAAGACCAATAAAGTGATATTGAATTAACATTATTGGTATTAATTGTGATAAATCATCTAATTTAATCACTAGATTTCTCAACCCAACTGATAGAAATATGTTAGACTTATTTACCTATCTTTATTCTTTTGCATATACATTTTTATCTTCACGACAACATTTACCGGATACATAAAGTAAACTTTATTGCGTAAGACTTTTAAAGTTTCTTTCTTGTCTAATCTATGAATGCACCATCGATGTTATCCTTTCTCTTAGACAATTTCTTGGCCGACATACGCGCACTATTTTGTTGTCTGAAAGTTTATAACCACACCCAGGTCAGAGAAATACACCCTAACATTGAAATCATATACATGATATTATTAAGTAGACATGAGAGGAAATATTCCTTGACAGATAGGTGCATTCGAGTCTATGGTAACTATTTAGCCTTTAGAAAAATATATTAAATACGATCATTAAAGCATCATAATCAGAATTTTATATGCAACTGATTAAATTACTCATTAAATTTATAAATAAAGTATGATAAAATGGCCTCTATCCTCTTCCTTTATTAGATTAAGGCTTATTAAAATTTTTCTCCTCAATTCAAATTAATGTTAACTTTCCTGTCAATTAAAATCAGTTTTTCAGATAAATTACAGTCTTTTAATGACAATTACTAATAACCTGATATTTAAATTATCATTGGAATTGCAGTTATTAAAAATCGAATGAATTCAGCCAATTAATAATAATTTCTACTTCGTGTCTTTTTCAGAATTATTTTTTCATTCTGCAATTTATCAATTCAAGTTGTGTAGATGTCTTGAGATCGGTAATTATTCAAAAGTCCGGATTT